TGTGTGCCACCTGCTGTGCTCCTCCTCTCCCCCGCAGACACAGGTGGTCCCAGGCTACATTGACGCTGATGCTGCGCCACGTGCTGTGCGTGTTGGCCCTTGCGCTGTGCTGCTGCACGTCTCTGTGTGTAGCTGCAACTGACGCACCTGAGGACACAGTTAAATTGAAACTTGCCGAGGGTGAAGCGACGATAACACTGACGCGGACAGTTGGTGCCGGCAACTGTACTCCGTTGTCCACCCCGGCTCCTGAGAAGGCCAAGGATGTTACTATTTCCACTACGGTTACTTTGAAGAAGGAGGGTAAACCACCAGAAACGAAAGAAATGAAGAATGAACCGTCTACGGTAGTCACTGTCCCCGATGGGTCCAGCGTAACACTGACTACTTCACTCGTTTTTGAGTGTACGAAGAAAGGTGGAGATAGTTCTGAGAGCGCTGAGAAGAACTGCCTAGAGGACACAGCTACGACGACTACAAACTACATCACCTATGATGTCAGTGTGAAGTCCACTACTACTGGTGAGGCCACTGTAAATATTCTGGAGACAGAAAAGCGTGAAGTGAAGGTCCGAGCTGGGTACGATGTGAAGATCATCGAGAACGTCGTGGCTACTTGCATCCCGCCACCTACGAGTGAGTCATCACTTTCAACTACACAGAACGTAAATTCTGACAAACCACAAGAGGTCCCGAATGGCGGCATATTGCCTCAGTTGGCCACTAACTCACCCGAATCACCCTCACTTGATGGTAATTCCATCACAACAGAGAGAGAACCTCAGAAGACTCAGGACGGGGTGGAACTTAAAGGAGCTGGCCCCAAATCGCTTGACACCACCACAAGGAGTGCAAATCCCAATGGTGAACGCATGGGCAGAGAACAGGAAAGTGATGTCAACAAAGATCTCTCTACTCCAACCTCCAGCGAGGCAGAGAGCACAGCAACAGAAAACTCCATCACGGTGAATGGCGCCGATCACACTGCCTCCACAGCCACATCTCAATCAGAGACAACCACCGAAGGGGCTCCAAACACTGATGCCGATGCTCCCACCTCTGCGGGAGAGAGCGTGAAGCCTCCTGGCGGCAACACCGACGCCAGCAGCAACACTGCGTGGGTGCGTATTCCACTGTTGTTGCTGCTGGCCTGTGTGGCCGTATGGTAAGACTTCTGTGTGTGTGTCTCTGTGTGTTCGTGGGACGATGATGCTCCCACCGTAATTGCGTTGAGTGCTGAGGACTGCACTCNATTCTTTTGTTTTCGTTTCATTGCTGCCCCGTTGTGGGCGTAACGCCGACCCACTTGCCCTCGACGACACGCACTGTGGGAAGGGGAGGCGTGTTTTCTTTCTATTCTTTTTCTTTTCGTTGCTCGGGCTTTGCTTTGCGCGCTGCTGTGCGCCGCCCATTAACTGTTTCTCCTGCTGAGAGATTCTCTTTTCATCTGTGTGTGTGCGTCCTTCGCTGCATCTCTCCCACCGTGTCTGCGCCACTCACACCGAGACACACATAAAGGGACGTGAGCGCCAGCAGTACAATTGCGTCCACGTGCGCTGCTGCTGCCTCGATGTTCCCTCTTTGTTTTGGACCTTGTGTGCTTGGACTCCAGCGGAGTGTGTGCGCCTCTTCCGCCGTCCAGTTCTCTTTTCTCTAATGGGTTTCTTTTCATCATGGTTGATGCCGCCTGTGTTGTGCCTGCTGCTCCCTTCCGCTCCGTGTGTGTGTGTGTGTTGGGGCTGCCTGCTGTGCAGCGTTTCTCTTTTCTCCTCCCTGCAGACCCCAGCTGCTCAAGCGATATTGAATGATGGCGACAGTGCGCCGCGTTGTGTGTGTGTTGGCCGCTGCTCTGTGCTGCACGGTCTTGTGCGTGGCGGCGGCTGAGGCGGTGGAGCTGTCAGCCGCGGAACAGATCGGTGTGGAGGCTGCAAGCGAACAATCGCCGGATGCACTTGCTGCGAATCAGTCGCTGCAGGCCATGGCGGGAGAGGCGGAAAAAGTTCTCCGCGTGGTCCACGACGTATTGGAGGCTGCTGTGGTGAAGGTGGTTTTGCCGTCGCTGGAAACGTCGNAGCTGCTCAAGCGATATTGAATGATGGCGACAGTGCGCCGCGTTGTGTGTGTGTTGGCCGCTGCTCTGTGCTGCACGGCCTTGGGCGCGGCGGCGGCTGATAAGTCTGCCACAAGTGCTGGCGGAATTAAGGCAAGGATTACTACGAAGGAGGCAGAAGTTCAAAAAGCAAGGGACGCTTTGGAAGTGGAAACGAAAAAAGTGGAAGAGGCTGCCAATGGTTTCGCCGCACCGCTGAAGAAGGCGAAGGAAGCAGTGGTGGAGGCGGTTAAGATGGTTGAAGCTGTCGATGCGAATGCTGAAGCCGTCAACAAGAAGGCGTCTGCTGTCTTTGCTGTGGCTTCGAAAGTTGTCAGGGCGCTAAGCGTCTTTTATAACAAGAAGTTGTCTTCTACTATACCGGAGACTCCAGAGAGTAAGGATATAAAGGTTGCCGACGCACAGCAGGCTACGAAGAATCTCGACGCATTGTTGCAGAGCGTTACACAAACCGTTTCGGACACCAAGAGTCTGCTGCAGAGGTTGGAGGANGAAGAATCTCGACGCATTGTTGCAGAGCGTTACACAAACCGTTTCGGACACCAAGAGTCTGCTGCAGAGGTTGGAGGACGCAAAGGTGAAAGCAGAAGCGGCGCTTCAACGTATCGGCTCGGCTGATGCGAATTCCAGGGTCTCAGAGGCTCAGGTTAATAACATGGTGAAGGATGGAAGGACAGCAGTGACGGATGCAGGTACTGCGGTGGCCGCATCACTCGTGAAGGCAGGGAAGGCGTATGACATCGTCCTGGCACTTCAGGATGCGGCTAACGAAACAGACGTGACAGCGAAGGCAGCGATGGCGGCGATTAAAAAAATTGACGGAGAGTCATCCAAGGATCCAAAAACAACGCTAAAGAATGCGTGGAGAAACTCTACGGGGGCTCTAAGTCATGCCAGGCCGATTATGTGGGCGTCCGAAGATCTCAGAAAAGATGGTAAGGCAACTAAGTTCGCTAAACAAGCGATGGCTTTTATCGATGCGAAATTGGAGGCTGCACTGCGGCCAACTGTGTCCTCCAGAACGGCCGCTGAATCCGCACTGCAGAACGTCCTGAATGAGCTCACGCAACTCCAAGAAGAGGCACGTCGGCTGGATCAACGGGAGAAAGAAGAGCTGAAGAAAAAGGAAGAAGAACTCAGTCGTTTACAGCAAGCTGAATCCCCCACTACTACCACTTCTGTTCCCTCACTCAAGAAAAGCGGTGTGGACGGCGAGAAGGTTCTTGCGCGACGTGCTGACAGTACCAGCAGCAATGCTGCGTGGGTGGGTGCGCCGCTGATGCTGCTGCTGGTCTGTGTGGCTGTGTGGTAAGGTCTGTGTGTGTGTGTGTGTCTGTGTGTTCATGGGACGATGATGGTCTTGCCGTAATTGCGTTGAGTGCTGAGGACTGCACTCCTGATTGATAAGATTCTTTTGTTT